TATATCTCTAAGTGTTTCCTTTTCTATGTAAAGGCTCGTTTAGTCTTCTGTATATGTCTTAGGGTTTTTCCTTTGTACATATATATACTTTATCAAGTCAATAAAGATCGACATCTTTCTGCGCCACTTTGACAAGGAATAATAAAAAGATGAATAAAAGTCTTGACTCGTTTCGCGGAATTTGATGGCAAACCAGTTGATATGACTGAGTAAGTGATAATGCATAGCAACTGGTACGACCTGATTTTAATCGTGTCCGAAAAGCAGTCACCTTGGTTACACATCTCAGTATAAACCTCGTGGACTTTCTTGTGCTTTCCTTGATGCATTAGCATCAGAACTAACCGAGTTGTAAGTGCTCGAAGTGGGTTTGAACTTGCGTCATCAAGTTCCAAGAAAACACACCCTGTTTGCAAATCCTGGAGCCTAATCTGAACATGGCAGTGCAGCTTCTCACCACAAGCCAAAGCTCAAAACGGCTCAAGACTCTTCAACAAGAAGGGAAACAAAAGCAGTGGAGCTGCTTAAAAACCATAGAATTGGTAACAATTGATTGTGTGCATGAGAGAAGATGACAAACAGATTACATGCATTTTTAACTACATTAAAAACAACCACGGTTGTCTTCTCCTCGTCAACGATGAAACTAACAGTTTTCCAGTACAGATTCCTGTATAGTGGATGCGTATCAACCGCTAAGAACTTGCTCCAGGACACGTTGCGCTAAATCTTGGTCGTAACCCAAATCTCCATCTCATGTGTATACCTTCTCTGAAACAGCACTGCAAGATGCTCATCTCTAACACTAGATAGAGTAGTATATTTTGTATAAGACATAAACGGCAGAGGCAGACGCGGAACAAATCTCTCTGTTGTAAAATCAAAACAGATCAAGCAATTACGGATGTTTCCTTCCTTATTTTGAGCATACCAATACGTATTTCCTTTCAAAGACAGACCATGGGTATCATCCGCCACCACCCAGTCTGGAGTGACATGAAGAACCCTCCTTGACTTTGAGTTTACATGGTAGATTTCGTGCAAACAATCCTCATGGAAGTGATCAAAGTAAAATCTGAAGACTTTATGGGTGCTCTTGTCGAGCATGACCATACTCGTTCTTTGGGTGGTAAGCTGGTATGGGTTCGGGGCAGATCCATCGAGTTTCGCCCGTATACGGGTTCCAAACCACGAACCTAATGTAGTCTTCAGTGACGCATAAGACTAAGCCATCGCAGTGACATAATCGATTGATGTCGAGTTTGTCTGAATCGTTTAGGCTAGTAAGATTATCTCTAGTCCTTATAGATGGATCAAAGTCGTGGAGATTGGTACTCACCATAGAAAGCTTATAATTCATCAACAGGACCGCCAAAATCTCCCCTTTGGCTTTCCTTTCTGCTGCTTGAGCAAGATGCTTCTTTGTAAAGGTTCCATCTTTGAATAAAGCGTTCCACTTTTTGCAAGTAGAACGGCTTGTTCTCAGAGATGTCACCGGAATTCTAGAGAGAACCTCCTCCTCCAATTCCCTAGGAAGATTTGTCAAATTCGCCATTGTCTTTCCTTTTTTTGTTCCTAGGAAGATTTGTCAAATTTCTTAGGTTATTTCCTCTTTTTTTTTATAACTTACGTGACAATTTGAACGTGTTATATAAAAAAGAATCACAAAGGTGACTTGCATCACAAGTCTTTGATTATATAAAAAACAATGGGATATATAAGATCCAGTTTTGTCGAATGGGTGTGGTCGTGTGGATCACACCCAAACTAGTTACTAAAACATGAATTTTTTTTAAGAAAAAGGAACCAATAGAGAGAGAAGATTGGTACTGGTAAGAACAAAAACGTGATCACGACCACTAGATCCCTTCCAAGCTTTAGTGTTCGTCACAAAATTAAACACTTGTCTCTTCCTCCGGTTATCTTCGTTTCTGGTTTCTTTATAAAGGAAACCTTTAACGTTTCCCAGCTCCATCTACATTGGCGTCGGATTCAGTCTAAATTTAGGTAACATGGAAATGGAAACAGATAAGCAAACCTTTCATGTCTGACAACGTAGAAACTGCCTTTTTGAAAAATATAAATATGGAAGCATTTTGGAAACATACA